TTCCTGACCACCCAAAGCCTGTCTCAACTTCTGTCTGAATTCCTCACAACATTCTTCCTTTTGCAACTTCCACCACTTGGTCTTCTTTTCTGTCTTTCCTCTCCTCTTCTTCCTGACCACCAATCATCCTACACACCACCATCCGATGCTGTCTGGCTACACTGGCTACACTAGGGTTCCTTCCCCTAACACCAAACCTGCCCATCACCTCCTCATCACCTTCGTTCCCCTCATCAACATCTGCTCCAATCAACACTCTCTCCCCTCTGGGAATACTCTCTATCACCTCATCTAACTCACTACAGAATCTATCCATTTCTTCTAACTCAAACCCTACTTGTGGAGCATAACCACTGACTACATTCAACATTACCCCTTCAATTTCCAACTTCAAACTGATCACCCTGTCTGGCACTCTTTTCACCTCTAAAACATTCCTCACAAGCTCCTCCTTCAGGATCACTCCTACCCCATTTCTCTTCCTGTCCACACCATAATAAAACAGTTTGTATCCCCCTCCAATGCTACGCCCTTGCTACCCTTCCACCTGGTCTCCTGCACACACAGTATATCTACTTTCCTTCTCTCCATCGTGTCTGCTGGCTCTACCTGTCCCTGTCATTGTGCCAACATTAAGAGTCCCTATTCTCAGACCTATACTCCTGCCTTTCCTCTTCCCTCTCTGTCTACGAATCCTTCTACCTCCTCTCCTTCTTCGACCAACAGTAGTCCAATTTCCGCCAGCACCCTGTAGGTCAACAGCACTGGTGGCGGTCATTGTTAACCCGGGCCTCGACCGATCCGGTATGGAATTCGCACTGATGATTCACATGTTTAAATGTGGCATGTTTTTACGCCGGATGCCCTTCCTGACGCAACCCTCTCTATTTAGCCGGGCTTGGGACCGGCACAGAAGACCCTGGCTTGCAACCCCTGTGGCTAGATTCAGGAGTCACTCCCACTGCTGTGCCCAAATAATTTCTCTGAGGTCATTTTCACTGACACATTACTATGACTGCTAAGACGGTGAATTTGGGTTATGTCATCTCTGTCTATACCTCCTAACCACTGCTGCTACTGTGTTTCAACTTATGTTCAGTAGCTTGTTGCTGCTCTTGTGTCTTCTCCCATCTTTATGAAGTCTTAAAATCTGGTCTCCTACCAAGCCAATTCTTTACCATGCAGAGACATGTTGCATCAGTCACACTTTAGCTGACCTTTGTTGTAATGTAAATGTAATAAGGTTGTACTTTGGACAATATTCCATATAGTCCATATTTCATATGAACTATAATATTCAATACAGTCCAGTTTTTACTTTTGGAAAGCTCAAATTCACTTCATTTTAATGTAAAAATAATTCAAAATTATAAGATGCTGCATTTCTGAATGACTAATTAATTCATCACCTTTATTTGGCCAAGTATGTTACACACAAGGAATTTGTTTAAGGTATAGAACCGAGGCAGCCATCTGCAACGCCAACTCACAACAATGGCTCTAACCATCGGGGGCAACCTGGGGGTTCAGTGTCTTGCCCAAGGACACTTCAACATGTGGACTGCAGGCACCAAGATTCAAACGTCCGACCCTCCGGTTGGGAGACATATGCTCTACCCACTGAACCACAGTCACCCCAAAATTAAATGAAACATTTTAGTGATATTACACATGGGTAAACTGAGGTTTGCTGTATACAGTATGTTTTTATTCACTCATTGGCTATTGTGGGAGAACCATTTCTTCTATCATTACATATAGGTAATACCTGTGGATGGGAGTTTCATTACATATTATGACAATTTTACAGTACTCCTTTCAGTAATATTCTTCATGACTTGAATCTACTCATATAAAATCCATAAAGGCATGCCCATAGTCTCACTTTTCTTTCCTACATGGTTCTATCAATTTACTTCAGAGGAGATGTGAATTTACCTGTGAGGTATTTTTTCAGCAGATACTGAAGACCAAAGAACACCACTTCACTAAACTGGGAACCTTTCCTGCATCGGCATTCAAAGTAGGAGTAGATTTTGTTGACATTTGGAGGATATTGTTTGTAGTGTGTGATCTGAAAGAAAGAAGACAGAAGTCAGGAACAAACAGATAGTAGGCAAAAATCCCCAAAACAGATCAACTCATTTCAACATCCTATTGTGAAATAGCATAATAGTAAGCACGCTAACAGTAAGCTGTAAACCAGAGTCAGTCACTGCATTCCTCTGCCTCATCCTGCCTACCACTATTATAAGTTGTCATTTTTCCTGTTCTGGTAACATCAAAACTCAGAATCACCAAAGACACAAAACATGTAAAACTCAAGCACAGGCTTATTACTGCAGATTCATTCAAATTTTAGATTGTGATTTTATTTGAATGATTCAATATCGGTTCTTCAAATGTCAGAATCAGAATCAGCTTTATTGGCTAGGTGTGCTGGACACACAAGGAATTTGACTTTGGTATAGCGACTCTCAAACTGTATGTACAATGTTCTTCCATATGGCAACAAGTAGACTGAGATAACAGGAAAAAGAAAAAGAATGTGCAAACAAGAAAAAGGAATGTGCATTAGCTAAATAAAAAAAAAAGAATAAAGTACTTCTCACAGGCATGAGAGAAGAGTAGGGCTACATGATTAATTGTTTTGTGAGTATTATTTAGATCCCTATGTGATTGCAGTCTCACGTGAGAGAGAGCTTGGCATAGAAAAGGGAATGCTTGGTTTGTAGCAAGGCATCTCTCTGTTAATGCAAACATGTTTGTGTGCACCATCTAAGGTCCTGAATTAAAAAACCAGAGCCCCTAAAGGTAGCCGGGGCAGCTGCTTTTACAGTCTATGGGACATAGTCTAGAACACACAACGATGTGAAAATTAGCAAATAGAAACTATATGATAAAGTCACATGAAGTACTGCATTTTGTGGGGGGCTGTTTAAGCACAATGAAGGTGGGATACTACCCTGAACGACAACAATTAAGCAGCACGTGAAAAGACTGACATGGCATGGGGCTTATAGAGGAAAAAACACATTGCCAGAATGCTGCCTGGATCTCGGATGCTACTATTCTCTGGGCAGCAACTTTACCTACCCTACCAACCATCGCTGAAGGACAGCATAGAAGCCTACATGGAAGTCTTTCATAACTCGCTCCCATCTGAGGAGAGGGCACTACTGGAGGATTTACCAATCTTATGTTGGCTACTGGAATTACTTTAGCTACTTTGAATGTTTTGTGACCATGTTCTGCATACAAGATGTGAAGGAAGATGGGAGAGATGCCTGTGATTGGATTTGTTGGACATAAGCCATAGCGTGACCTGCCTATTTGTAATGCAAGGAAGGTTGGGGAGAGACGCTGGTGATAGGGCAAAAAACAAAAATTCTAAATCCTGAATCTGCCCCAAGCTCCGAAAAAAATACATATCAAAATTGTACATCTCCAGTACAAACTAGAACTAACACAACAACATAACAGTATCATACACTTTAACTTTAAATTGTAAAGGACTAAGCCAACATACTCAGATTCATAGAGGCTAAGCTCTGGTACCGAGTTGCCAGAATTAAAGGAGAACAATAAAGGCAGCTCTGTGTCTCTGTGGCTAAAAAAACACGTTGCATGTCTGTTAATGCCTTTTTTCTGTAATATTAGAGAGAATTGTTGTAAGGCTGGAGAAGTTACTATGTCTGCATTATGCCAGTTAAAATATGGGCTTTCTCAACAACCAGCTTTGTTTAGAGTGTTACACATCTCTTTTCATCAGTATATATACCATTGTTTACCTATCTACGGAGGAGAAATTCAAATTAATTAATGCTGTTGCGGTTTGTTGTGCTGTCCACTTGCGACACAACACCAGCAACAGGAGTTGGGAGCATTCACAAACTATTCTCTTGTTTTTAAGAAGAGGCTTTTTGGTTTTATTATTCTGAAAAAAGACATACTATTTGGAATTATGAGGGTTGCCAAGATAATCTAGAGGTACCCAAGATTAAACATTAAATGGCTGGAAACTAGCAAAATGAGCACGACATGGGGACTTTAACTCGTATACTGAGCTTCCATATGAATGCTCTTCCATTCTGTGGTACATTTAATGGTGTATCTTGACAAAGTACTGCTAAATGGCCATAAAGGTACTTTTAGCTTCAGCACAATGTCAGCCCTCCCCGGGGCAAATATTCACAAATTATAATCACAGAATATTCGGAAGGAAAAGAGAGAAAGGGAGGGGGAGGACTCATCTCACTTTTGGTCTGTCTACACATTCTGGAGAGCCATGTGAAGGAGTTAATCAAAAAGTGGATTTTGCATAATAGGCCCCCTTTAGATATTTCTATATTAATTACCAAATTTTCAATAATGATATAATAAGTTTCAATAACACATTTATGCTCAATTTTCACAAAAAAAAGTGAGAGAGACATTTCCTGTTGCCATCTTTGCTTAACTGAAAAGAAAATGTATGACCTGAGAAACTGATTACAATTATATTTTTACTGGAATGGACCGGATTAATTTTGATTCCACACCATTAGAAGAGTCTATGAGGATTCAAGAAATACCTTCAGAATTTGAGTATAGGTTAACAAACAACAGTACAGGGTTAAAATGGTCGGAAATTTCAATTTCCCATGTTGAGTTAAGATTATCTCTGTGACACGTATATGTAATACTTGAGAGTCACAAGATGAGGCTAGATTTAGGTTACATATTGAGTGAAATGAAACTGAAAGCTGAACGGTACATGAAGTGGGAAGAAGGGTGAGACACAACTACATAAAGTGAGCTTTACTTGCTGTGCATTACAACAAAATGAATCACACTATGACTTGCACTTCTGAAGTTCTGTTTCTCAAACTGGAGCCCAGAGACTTCCACAGTCACCAGCATATAATAAATATAAGCTTCGTTCTATTATGCCATTCTCTTGGGGGAGTGACACATTTATTGTGACTCAAGCTTGAACACTATTTTCTTATGTCTATGAAGATTCCGTCACCCCATTAGCCGGATATCTCTCTTTATACAGACGGACCCAGTCACATTCACTCCCCGGCCTGTAGTAGCTTTGCTTTGGCCGCACCTGTAGGTGCTGGATATATATATGTGTGTGTGTGTGTGTGTGTGTGTGTGTGTGTGTGTGTGTGTGTGTGTGTGTGTGTGTGTGTGTTGAATAAATAAACTTCTTTTAGAAAAATACGTTTAACTTACACTCAGTAAAGTTCTGTAAAAGAGTTTTGGTATAGCGATAATGGAACTCAAGCATTACAGTGGTAAACATGTCCACAGATACCCGTTCCTCGCCAAGTCTTATCTCAGATAAGGTGTCGTGGACTGATAACAAGAGCATGTGCTCAATGCATGCATGATATATAACAAACACTAGCATCCACTGCAACATTGTAGTGTACACATTCAATGCCACAGCTACGTTTAGGTTGTTTGAGATGTGCTACGACAGTCAGACACTTACTTTAGGGAATCTTAACTTACAGCAATCTAAAATAGACAGAATTTAACCTAGTGTTACATGTAAAAAGCCCGAAGAAGAACAGAAACCAGGACAAGAATGAACAGGTCCACTCACCTTGTAAGAATCCGTCGCAAGCAAGAAATTAAAATCCGGCAATGCCATTGCTGTTTAGGACGAATGAAATAACGTAAAAGGAAGCTAAATGTCACTTTAGTTTCCCTATCGGGTAGAAACTTAACGAGAAATCGAACCTGAAACCCAGACCAAGTAGCTGATATTACACTGGCCTAGAGACTAGGCAAAAAAGAAATTAAGCCTTCAACCACGAACTACTCTGATTTTAACCCCTATATCTCTCCAGTGAACTTGAAGTCCGACGTTACAACACAGCAAAACAACCAAAGCAAAGACGTTAAGTCATTTTGTATGCTGGGGGTGTTGTAAGGGGGCGGGATACCGTGCGCATGGCCACGCGTACGTCCGCTCACCGCCTGTCTGGCCTGCAACGTCATGCTGCTTTCAAGTGCACATAGGACCTTTTTGGAAGGAAAGCAGAGGAATACTCCTTATTTTGGATAGCAAAATCTATGTAACCATTTAGTTAGCTTTCAACTTTCATTGTATGGATGCTGAGTCAGCATCCATACAATGAAAGTTGAAAG